CAGATAAGGGTGAAGGTTTGGTACCATTAAAACGTTTAAACCCGCTGCAATTGTTTGCACCTGTCCTAAGTCAGGAATCGGATGTTCAGTACTAGTAGTTGTCGTTTGTTGATGTGGTTCATAAGTGTTTCTCGTATCTCGTTTTTTATATAGATTAGACCGTTGGTTTTCCCGTTTGAATGGTTTTACACTAGTGTTTTTGGGGCCCTCTATAGCTTGCTGTTCGGCGTGAGCCAAGACTCCGTTTTGAAGACCGTACTTTGACCTATAATGGTTTACTTTTATAAATTTTGACTTGGATGGAGAGTTGTCTCATTGGCACTCATACCACATCTTCTTATATCTATTCCATGTTATAATTGTGCATTAGAATTGTTGTGAGAATGACCTGGAACATTTACGGGACATATAATAACAAGTTAGTAAAATGGCTGAAGGTAAACTTTGAAAAAAGCATTCATTGTATATATTAATAGTTACACAGTGTGCTAGTTACCTAATACGATATATATGGGGTCGGTAAATTCCATATGGGCGAGTGCTCTTCGCTCTCACCCCATATGGAATTTACTGATCCATATATATCGTATTAGGTCATTAGCACACTGTGTAAGGAATTTATCTTACCGACTATCTTAACTTGTTGCATTTAGACTAGTGCCCTATTAAAGGACAAATTTTTCAATATTAAGAACCTACTTCCATTGGTCTATACAAAAACAAATGCCAAAAAATTAGTTTTCCTGTTTGAATGGTTTTACACTAGTCATTTTTCGGGCCCTTTATAGCTTGCTGTTCGGTGTGAGCCAAGGCTCCGTGTTGAACGCCGTACTTTGACCTATAATGGTTTACTTTTACAAATTGTGACTTGGATGGAGAGTTGTCTCGTTGACACTCATACCACATCTCGTTATATATATATCCAGAAACATGCATCGTGTAGGTACCATACCTTTTTTTTCTTCAGAAAAAGGGTTACAGAGACAAGTGCGTGTTATACGTGGTAGAATAACCTCCAAGAAACACTTTCACGAAACAGGCGCACAGGGTTTGACCTGAAGCAATAAAATTTTAGCCCGTTGTCATTGGTTGAAAAAATTCCTTTTCACATAAAGTATTTAGCACGTGAAATTTTAAGAAAGTCATACACATCTGTCCCGGATTTGGAGGAAAAGGGGGAGGTTGAGCGCTCACAAACATGTATAACCCACCATATTCTTCATGTGCCTGTCCTAAGTCAGGAGCCCGTAATTCATTGGTTGTCATTGGTTCATGTCTGTCATATATGTTTTTCGTAAATTGTATTGTTATAAATCAGGCAGTTAGTTTTCACGTTTGAATTGTTTCTTAATTTGTCATGTCGAGGCCTTTTATAGCTGACTATATATATATATATATATATATATATATATATATATATATATACGGTATATGGTTTTCTCCATGTTGAAGGCCGCACGGTGACCTATAATCCTTTCTTTTCTATTAAAACTGCTTTTCTGAAATAAAAAGTTATGACTCTCACCTAAAGTCAACTGTTACACTACCTTTCCTTTTCATGTGTCAAAAAACTTTTCAACGACAACTTAACACTCAGACATTTTCTTGTCACCCATTTAAATGTATGTTTGTGCGATTCACAATATAATTTAGTTTTTTTTATTCTAAAAATATTTTCTGTTTTAATTAGAGAGTACTCTAGCGAAATAAAACCTTGTTACAAAAACATTTGCTAATTAATTATACCTGACCCTTAAATATATATAATAAATGTGAGAAACACTTAACAACTGCATAGTTAATTTGCAAAGCATTCAAATGACAATATAACTTTCAATTAATTAATTTTCAATAATAAAATTTTAACAACTAAACTACCTTTTTTCGAAGTGCAAAATGTCTTCATTGTTATCACCAGACCTACGGAACGGATCAATTTCATTTGTTTTGTAAACTTTTTTTTTTTATTTTCTTCTGATTTTCGTTTCAATAGATTCGACAGAGCGATAGTATACCGAAGAAATGTGATCCGTTTAAAATTGTTATAAACAATAAAAGTTGACAACAGTTTGTATATATATACAGTTCTAAAACAACATTTCATTGTGATATATTTAATAGTCTGTTCATGTTTTTTCAAAATATAACTTTTAAACGTTATTTAAGACAGATAGGATTAACAATGCGTGTAAAATTTTTTTAATGAATAACATTTGAAAAATCGAAATTTATTTTCAAATCACAAACGAAAATGATCCATGCGATCAATGCAGTACACATTTAGTGATTATTATAGTATATTTGAAATACTTATCCTACATTGTAATTATAAAAAAGGAGATTATGTCGATGTGTCGCGTTGTGGAGCGAATTTACTCGTTGCATCGCTGTAAATGTCTAATAATTTCAATACAAATATGTAAAATTCCTCAAGGATTTTAATTGGGATTTTAAGTGGAAAGAAATTATTCAAATCTTTAAACTGCACTTCCGTGAAGAAACTGTTTAAAAATCAATGTAAAAAAGTAAACCATTAATGTTTATGTGCATTTAATAAAGATGTTTATCCTGTGAATATTACGCCGATACGAAGATACCGTTTTGAAAAGGAGTCTCAAATTAAATTGATAACATCAAAATGACTTGGATATGTATACTTAATAAGAATGATAAATGAGTCAAATGGAAAGAAAAGTGAAATGGCTTGGGACAAATAATTCCACCGAGTTTGATTTGTCTAAAGCCATGCCGGATAACGGGAAATCTACGTGTAATAAATATCAATTTCCAAGGTAAGGATGTATTTAGCTACATTTAGAGTTAATGCCATATTACTAGTAGTTATGACTCTAAACGGTACTCGGCATAGATCTATGAAATATACATGTAATAAACATCAATTTCCAAGATGAGGATATATTTTGCTACCCATGTTAATTATGACTCTAAACGGTACTCAGCATAGACCTATGATATACATGTTATAAATGTCAATTTCCAAGGTAAAAATGCATTTTGCTACATTTAGAGTTACTGCCATTATGTTAATTGTGACTGTACGGCACACATCCATGAAAACTACACACGTATCATTAGGGTACGACCGTTTGATACTCGCGGGGATGGGGGAAAAAAAAGGGGGGGGGGGGGTAGAAGATTTTTTGTTTTTGCGAATTGACATCTATTTTGATCTGTCGCTATGCATGTTTTTTCCGCATCTTTGCCGTATGAAAATTTATTTTCACTTTTATACACCAATGTTTCCTCCATTTTGTGTTGCATACTATCCATTTTCATTCTGTCTTGTACAAAAGTATTTATGTTCAGCTCTTACCAGGCCAGGGTATTCATCCTCCAACTCCCCTTCCCCTTTTTCATCAGAAAATCAAACGGTCCTTCACTTAGTTGGAAACATGGAAATCTAGTTATATATATTACATGTTGCATGTTGCTACATGTATTTGTATGAAATCAGTATAATAGAATATATAAGAAACTGAACGAATTTTCAGCTGATTAAGTTAATCGAATCATTCGACATAGTTATGAAAAACTTTGGAACTTTCAGCCTGTAATCGAAAGTTGAGAAAAAGTAGGGTTGAGATCTCAAAAGCTTGTAAACCCAGCATAATGCTCATGTGCTTGAAACAAATCTATCCGTACGTTGCAAGCATTCTTTTAAACGATATTGTTCGTGATTATTATCTTATAGATATAAAAAGATGTGGTATGCGTGCCAATGAGACAACTCTCCATCCAAGTCAAAATTTATAAAAGTAAACCATTATAGGTCAAAGTAAGGTCTTCAACACGGAGCATTGGCTCTAACCGAACAGCAAGCTACTAGTATAAAGGGCACCAAAAAATTACTAGTGTAAAACCATTCAAACAGAAAAACCAACGGTCTAATCAATATAAAAACGAGAAACGAGAAACACGTATGAACTACATAAACAGACGACAACTACTGTAATCAGATTCCTGACTTAGGACAGGTGCAAACATTTGCAGCGGGATTAAACGTTTTAATGGTACCAAACCTTCTCCCTTTTACTTACTTACTGACAGGACTAATGAATTTCAACATCTCTGATTTACTTGACTGCTATCGAGACGACAGATGCAAACAATAAGTCTTGCTTGTATTTGTGTAATATCATTATACGACAGTATAATGACAGTTGTTTTCCATTCGTTACAACTTTGATGAGTTTGAGCTTTTGATTTTGCCATTTGATAACTTAAGAGACCATCCGTTTTGAAATTTCCTTTGAGTTCGTTATTTTTTGTTATTTTACTTTAAACATGTACTTCAGAGCTAAGAAAATCTACTGTAATGATTTTTATAGTGCCTTCTTTTTGTGTTCTTTTGCCTTTCCCTTTATACAGAACTTTGATACACTAGTTTACCAATGTAAACACTAGTTTTAACCGGACTCATTCCCATGTGAAACATACGACACCAGAAGTAAGAGGAACAACTAAAACTTGGCAAAATCGTTAAATCTTAACGCGGGATTTAGTGGGGAATACATAAATAAAACATGGCTGATATGTTATCAAATGATAACGTTTAACCCGGTGGATTTTAAGAGCAAGTTACAACTTTTTCTGTTTTGTTCTATTTTTTTTGGTTGCATTTAAGAAGGAGTTCTTGGTGACCCTATTATTGTCATGACATTTTTATACTTACAAATTTCAGTTACACCTATTGTTGAGTATAAACCTGACACTTATATTGTGAAACATAATATTTATCAATGTTTAGAGATACATGTACAATCACGCTTTCGACACACACACACATATTAAAGAAAAAATGACCTGGTGTCATGCAATGCATGTTAGTGCATATAGCATTAATCTTGCGAGCTTCAAGGTTATGTTTTTTTGCAGGTGCAGTTGCGTTGTTTGATATTTAACGTATTTCGTCTTCTTGTTTATTAGTGTACTATAAATTGGCTCCCCTAAATTAAATCCCTAATTGTCTTATTTTTTAGGTTGATGGAAAAGACCAACCTTGATGCCAGGAGGTCAAAAAATATGTCGTGGTACGATGACCCACGCTCAGCATACAGACATAACGCCGATTACCTCAAACGTTTATCTAGTCTACGCGATAACCTGATCGACCAAGAACAAACAAATTTAGCTCATGCCCTTGAAAGACTTCGAGCAAAACAGACAAGAGAGTCAATGCAAAGTAAAGCAAAGGTTAAAAATGCGTTTGAATTTTCGGAGACAAACAACAAAAAGTTTATAACAACTCTTGAAAAATTTAAACAGAGTCGACCGAAGAGGTACCCCCCGGAATTACATCCATTAGAAGGAAAGCAGTTGATTGAACCACAAAGTTCACGTTCTCCACAATCAATACCGGAGAAATCGGGAAGTGCTACATCGGTAACGAGGTCGTCCGAAGAGAACATCATTCGGAATAATCTCCAACGTTTGATTGTGCCAATAACACCAACAAGCAGTATACCAAATATAGGTAGAAAATGCCAAAAGTCAATTCAACAATTAGTACTAGAGACTTCTCCTTTGCAGAGGAAGAAAACGTGTTTCAGTGCCGATCATGCGGAGAAAAATCCCTTCAAAAATATTTATAAGGGAGCCCGCACTCGAAAAGTTATGCGTCCGGATGTGGATGATTTAGATTTATCTCCACACGCTGTGAAGTTCGAAAAGATTGGAGATCACGACAAAATAAATATAGACAAATTGAAAGAATATTATTGTATCTATTATCTTCCTTCAAATACGCCTACTGGTCAAGATGAATTTGTGTCCGAAGATGACGAAAACAACGGAAGTGACGTATCAAATGGCGAAAATACAAAGTTTGATAGTCAATTAGACAGACATTTAGAAAGTGAATTAAAACCAAATGAAATGGATTTGTTAAGCAATCGATTCCCTAATGAACAATACAGATACAAAGCAGGATATTTTGGTGCAAGTCAAAGAGTACCCGAAAGGAAACCTATGCTGCATCCGGTAACCGGAAAAGCTCTTGTGACAAACACCGAAGATATCCGGAAACATAGACTTCGAAAGTTACATTTAAGTGACGGTGTAAATAACACTGAAAACGAGGCAATTTATGGAAATGAAGAAAAAGACGGACATAATAGAAAACAAATTGTTGTAGATATGCCGTCTTTGGTGTTTAACGCGCCAACTCCAGAGGGATCTGACCTCGAAACACGGACAGCCTTTTTGTCGAAGGCATATAAACAAAATGAATTGCGCCATAGGGAGTTGAAAAATCTGCTTGACGATGTAAAAGAACTGAATAAGCGAACTGATGATCTCTCTGAGCAAGTGCCGCCAGAACGACCTCCCGTATGACGGATTGTTATTAAACAATTGTTATTAATTTATTAATTTTAGACATGTAGATGTATGTCCTTTAATTGTTAAATTATATGTCTATAAATGAAGTCTTTTTTTCAAGTTAAAGAATCACAAGGCAGGCTAATATTATAAGCTAGTTGTTTCCCTTGATGAATTTAGTAATTAATTGCCGTATCACAATAGCAAGGACAAGGAACCTTTTACTAGTAATCTATGTTCATTTGCTCGATGTGTGTACTTAGTAAGGGCTTTTAACAAAATCCTAGAATTCTCATCCAACTTTATTAACAATTTGAACGGGGATAGGGGGAGAGCGAATGTTGTTTCTTTAGCTATTGCCATTTTTTGTAAAGAAAACTAGCAAAATCTATAAAATATGATATAGCAGAAACTAAAAATACACATCCTTAAATTTTTGCACTTTTATTTACTTGTTTTGTCTAAACAAGTATCAGTTCTAAACATGTTTAAGCTAACAATGTGTTTATGATTGTGTTTAGGATATATATATAATTTGATATGGATCAGAAAACAAACAGGGCCGGTGAGAGGAGTATGAGAATTTAGGATTCTATATATTATAGCCTAACCAATGCAGATCGTTTTTCCTTCGTCATACTTGTAAGAATAAGAAGCTGGCAATTTTTCATTTACTTCCACGTGTACAAACATCGTTCTGCATTTACGTTAATCGATGGGTTACTTTCCTGTAAGGGTATACACTACACATGGAAATAGCATTGAAAGTTCTTAAATAATTGTACATGTATAATACTATAAAAATTGTGCTTAGAAAATAAACACTTGTATTATAAGGATTGTGTTTAATATCTAAACGTGTTTTAGAATTAAAGTGTTTAGGAATAAAACACTTATTTCTAAGCTAAACAGGATCATAAACACAATCATAAACACATTGTCAACATAGACATGTTTAGAACTGATACTTGTTTAGATAAAAACGTGTAAAAATAAAGTGCACAAATTTAAAGATGTGTTTAGGATCTAAACAGTACATTCTTGGCTAAAGATTGAACAAGTATAAACTTTTTTACTTACCTCTTTTACTTTATCTTAATTTTTTACATAGGGGAAAATAACAAAAATAGATGGTCTTAAACGGTGCATAGCCAAAAATGTATTAAGGTAGACATGACCATTTATGGTAGTAATGAAAGAAGGAAACATAACTATATTTTAGGGGGGCTTTAATTGATGATAAGATATGGGATCAATTTCGATATAATATCAGTAAACGCAATAGCAGACAAAAAAATAACAAGGTACGAAAAATACAACATGTACACGTGCGTAAATAATTTTCAATGGTATTTTCAACTTGCTGTATAATTAAATGTATCTACAAATTATAACTTTAGAATCAGAATCATGGACCTTGAAGAAATTGTGTATTTTATTTAAACTTACTTTTAATGTATGTACATGTTCATGACTGTTGAATGTAATGAATGTTGTGCAGCAGAATGCGAGACTTTTATACGCTGTACGCTAAAAGTTTGAATAAGAACTTTAAATCATAAGTTTATGCAGTTAATTCTTTTATGGCCTGTATAAAAAAAAACATGAATTACTTAATTATTCATGAAGAGAGATAAATATAACACCAAACTACACTGAATGCTAACGAATCACATGAAACAAAGATTTGATTTTTAATTGTGTTCACATTGGAAAATCGAGTCAACAAATGTCGAACAATTTGTAATCAAAAGAGGGGGGCAAGAGGGGTCCACTAACAGGATAAAACATTTGAATTTTACTCAAAACAGATAACAGTAAATTTAAAATACTGATAACCGATAACAGCAATTTAAATGATCTTAAATGCAGTAAATTCAAATATAAAAAAAAGGTGAACAGGGGTCACTTTTTTCACAATAACAGTTAACAACAATGTCAATTTTAAGAAAACAGATAACAGCTTATCGGTTAATAACAGTTAACAGCACATTTTCAAAATAACAGTTAACAAAAGTTTAGAAATGCCTAAAACATCTTAACAGAAAAGATCTTGCTCCCTCTAAAAATACTTTAAAGTCATTTAATGTAGTGATAATAGTACACAAGTGAAGCATTCGGTTGCATGCCTTTATAAGAATCGTAGGCGACTGGATTGTAGGACGTCAAGAATGAGGAAGTAAACCACCTTTATACAAAATGAAAATGGTAACAGGAAATAACCAAAGATTTAAAGCTTATTTTTTTGTTCCACCAGGCTGGTGTTTCGTCTAGAAACGCATCAGTGGCGCCCGAATCAAAATATTTGGAAAGTCAAATCAAAAATACGAAGATACAGAGCATCTTAGACTGGTACCCGATCTTTATTTGACAAGTTTGCATTTGACAAACGCAGACGCCATATTCAACTGGTACCATTCATCGACGTTGACAAACCAGGAACCGAAACGTCCAAGTTCAATGTTACTATTAGCTCATACCGACCGATAATATTTGTATATTCCGAAGGCTTCTGAATATTTTACCGAGAGAACCAACGAGAAGGTGTTTCGTATAATTCAAACTCGTGTGAACAGCGGTTTACTCTACCTGTATACAGTTTTTGAAAATGCATTGATTCTGAAAATCCCGACACGTTAAGAATAAAAATAACATATTTAAGTTCCTAGCTAAACTTAGTTGTGCAACATCTCGAATTGCAAACACATGTACATGTATACATTTCCTGAAAATGCATTGATTCCATAATTCCTGCTACGTTATAAATAATTAATAAAATAACATGTTTAACATAAAAAAAAAAGGAGCTGTGTTATGGTTGCCAATTAGGCAATTATCTACAAAGACCAAAGGACGAGGATGTGAACAACTTCATGTCGTCATACGGCTTTCAACATTGAGCAAAACTCATACCGTATAGTAGAATATAAAAGGTCCAGTCATGACAAAATGGGAAAAAAGTCAATAGAGAAAACTAAAGGTTTTGGTGTACCATTAACAATTATTAATGGCAGACAGCAACCAACCACAACTAATGGATCACATACTCAAGACTTTCAGACATACACACAAGGAATATGACGAGTTTAAACATGTTTATTGGCGAACAACCCTGCCCAAACCAGAGACAGTGATGTAACAGCCGAACATAAGAACAAACTGTAAAAATCTGTTAAAAGTGCTTGACTTATTAGATCGGTAGTAAGCACAAAAACAAATATAAACAGACTAAACGATAAAGAACATAAAGTACCGATCTAAGAGTACTTGCAGGTAATAAAAACTTGTTCAAATCCTAAATTCACTAACAGATAAATCATATTATCACAGTCTAAAATACCAATTAGTACACCTCCAGTGGTTTTAGTGTAAAGACGTCATACAAAGTCTGAGAAAAAAGTTACTTTGTGTTAAAGTTCCTTTTCAAATGCGTCAATTGCCAGTTTCTTAGTCATCAAAAATCTTATTTTGTAGCTTTACTCGTCAAGAAAAAGTTGGCGTTAGTTACCAGTTATTACCTACTACCATTTTATGCAATTCAGGACGCCTTGTGCAAATTAGATCTACTGCTTTTATCTTCAGAACAATATTTCATTTCATTTGTAATGATCGTTCTTTTTGGTTTGGTCTGATTAGTACAAAACAATACTGAGTTTTATGTATTTTGAAGATTGTGCTCTGAGATGACGTCCTTGTTTTAAGAAAACTTACAATTTTCAGACAGATATACTCTTGCTTTGGAATAAACCATTCTTTCAAAATAATTCAAAAAGGTGTATAAGTCACAAAATTTAACTTTCCATGCTCTTCTTAAATGCAGTGTAACTTGATGAATTCAAGTAATTTGAATTCATTGGTAGTTCAGATTCAGAAAAGGGAAACAGTTTTCGATTTTATAGGCGGATTGGCGATGACTTTTTCTCTTTTTGTTACACAATATCATAATATGAAATAAAAGTTTATATAAAGAGAAAATTTTTATTATTTAGTGGCTAGATTCAGAAGTGACGGTAACCTGTACTCGTACAATGTACCATGCATAAAAAATAACACACATGCAGTCTCAACACTAAACTCTTTTCTTTACTGATCAAGAGAATTATCGAGTCTATGGTGCTAGATTCAACTTCTGGTACATGCAATCAATGCAATCATTAATCGTATTTTACAATATTATTTACAGACGAAGAATATATCAAATAGATATAAGAAGATGTGGTATGAGTGCCAATGAGACAACTTTCCATCCAAGTCAAAATTTATAAAAGTAAACCAATATAGGTCAAAGTACGGTCTTCAATACATAGCCTTGGCTCACACCGAACAGCAAGCTATTAAGGGCCCCAAAAATTACTAGTGTAAAACCATTCAAACGGGAAAACCAACGGTATAATCTATATAAAAAACGAGAAACGAGAAACACTTATAAACCACATCAACAAACGACAACTACTGAACATCAGATTCCTGACTTTGGACAGGTGCCAACAATTGCAGCGGGTTTAAACGTTTTAATGGTACCAAACCTTCACCCTTATTTGAAACAATAGTGTAACAGCACAACATAGAAAGACACACTATTAAATATCAATTGAAATGGCTTAACTCAATCAAAAGACATATTAACACCAGTGAACATAGTACACTGAACAAATAAATTTGATCTATGATACAATGTAAATACAAAATAAATAAACTAAGGGAAGAATAATTAAAGTAACATGTTATACCGCTGTGAAATGTTAAACAATTTAAGAAAAACAATATGCTTGAACAAAAATATCAGCCATTTGCAATTACTTTAAACACAGGTAAATGAAAATAATTTTGTTGTTAGGTATACGTGTACAGTTCAAATGGAGAAAGGAAATATTTTTACAAAATATATAATTTTGATGTTCAAAGTACGAAGAAGTGCAAATTTATAGTAATACTAAACACTTATCAAAGCTGGTATATAGACCAGATATAACCCTGAATAAGTAAACATTAAATAACAAAAAAGCATTACAATTAGTATCAACACGTCAAATAAACAAGAAAGTACGATTTGAGAGTACTCGCAGTTACTGACAGCTAGTTAAAAGTCAAAAACAATTAATAATAAAAAATCAGAGACTCAAATCAACTAAAACACATCCCATGGATTTAGCGTTTTAACGTCATGGACAGTTGAAGAAGACATGACTTATGCAATGCCAAACATAAATGTATCGACAGGCAGTAGGATAGTTGGGAGTTAACCTCTTTATAGATCAAAATGAACATGGGTGTGTCTTTATACATCCCGTTTGAAAAGAATACAAATTTAGTTATGTTTTAATTTGCTGATGACAAAATCGATATTAGTGCCAATGTAAACTATATTCAAAGATCTAATTACAACATTGGTAAGATAACCTTTACTAATAAGTTTGTTTAAAGGTGCGATGAGTTTACACGGATCACCTAGTGATTTCCGCGCTTTAAGTACAATATTACCGTAAAATTTAGGATGTGAAATACCGTTTTTAATCAGTTTTCTACAGGTACAGCCAAATTTACTAATCAAATCTTTGTATCTATGAAAGAATTTAGTAAAAGTTTTATGCAATTTAAGGTAACGAAATCCCTGACTTTATAATTTACCAGTGATGCATTGATTACGTTCGTTAAAATATATGACATCACTACACACACGGGCATAACGAACGAGTTGGGATATATAAACACCGTATGATGAAGCCAAAGGAACATCGCCGTCTAAAAAGGAAAATTAACAGTAGGGAATGAAAAATCGTCTCTTTTGTAGTATGGAGTTTTCCTTTAGAGATTGAAATGTCAAAATCTAGAAAAGGACAACTACTGCTGTTTATGTTAGATTTAGTTAAAGTAATTCTTTTGGGTACATTTCGGTAGTATATTTAGAGAACTCTGGATTTTTAACGAAAAAATATCATCCAGATAACGGAAGGTATTGTTGATGTATCAACCAAATGTAACAATGACGTGTATTTACTGAGTTTGGTCATAAACTGAGATTCATAGCAATACAGGAACAAATCTGCTATTAAAGGGGCGCAGTTAGTGCCAAACACTATTTACGATAACTGATCCTAGATCATTGCAAACGCTTGGCAATCGCAATATAATTCTATTACTGAAAATTTGCTAACTTACTCCATTTCTTTCATATACTTGTTCTTAAATTTTACTGAACAGGATCATTTCAAACGTAATTTCATATAAATTTCCTTTAAATTTTACCATGTGATGTAACCGTAACTATAGAAAAACTTGTTTTAACTTTTTAAAGTTTTAATCAAAATTCATATTCACGATTTTGATGATGAAGAGGACACACTGGTGTTTCAAGTCCAGTGGCAAATATCTCATGATATCAGAGCGAGAACATAGATTTAAACTGTGTTCGATGCAATAGAAACAAGTGCAACGACAAGCTAAGTAAAGCGTTCATGATTCGGTAACCGAGGTTCATACTACATTCAGAAACGACGGTAAGTGGTCATCGTATAAGAAAATATCACGCACAAATCGCCAAACTAATAACTCTCTTCTAAAA